TGTGAGGTTCCCGCCGCTTCAAACCGGCCTGGCCCCGTTGGTGGCGATGGCCCCAGCCAAGCCTCTGGCGCAAGACCGGCTTTGCCGCCGCGTTTCGCGCGTCTCCTAAGCTGAGCCGCGGAAAATTGTGCTTCTAGGAACGGTTGCTGTGATGGAGGAGCGTGCGACCAGCGTGGGAATTGCGGCTGCGGTTGTCTAATGGTACAGAAAGTTTACAGGGACATAGCGTATAGTCTGAGCTGTTTTTCAGTTCTTCTGGAGTGCCTAATTTCCTGTATTTTGTTCACAAAACCAGACTGGTTAGTTTAAGGATTTTCTCGGATGCTACGGGATGCTGATAAAACAACGTGCTAGTAAAATTATGAAAACCCAAGTCAACGATAATCATTGTGAAAGCAATGCTTTTTGGTATTTCCCTTTTAACATACCTCTGCCATCTTTCTTGTTCCTTTTCCCCCTTTCTTTTCATGTTGTCCTCAAAGAGTGAGTATGATCTTCTGGTAATTGGTGGAGGGTCCGGAGGCCTTGCTTGTGCAAAAGAAGGTTTGTACGTATAAATAAATAACAAAAGCTTTGTTTTAGCTTAAGGTGTGTTTATGAAAACTAGGCGAGGTGATACTAACAATGCTAAAGCTTTCTATGTAGCATACTTAGTCCCTGTGCGTTAGTTGTTAAGTCAGCTTTATACAATTAATCTACACATTAATTCACGCCTCCAGATGGGGTGATCTTGTTTGGCTTTCTTACTTTTTTTTTTTGTGTGGTTGTTTAATATTTCCTCTATTGTCACAGGAACTTCTAATAAGCCTGTACTTCACTGTTTCTGTAAAATACTTTGCCTCCATAAATACTGTATTTTTTGTTTATTTTTCATTATACTTTTCACTTATTTATGTGTTAAGAAACAGTCCAATAAGACTATTTCTGCAAACTGTTTAATTTCTGCAGAGAATCTCCCCTTTTGTAACTCTACGTAACATGTTCAGTAACCTACAAGGTTATTTAACGTACAGTTTCAGTTTAGAGCGAAAATACGTTTTAGGATTGGTGGAAGGTGGAGGCTCTTAGTCCAGGTTATTAAGTGCCCTCTGGAAGATCCACTGGCCACATGGGCAGTCTGGGCCCCTAGTCTGGTATCTCCTCGTAGACAGCATAAGCCCCCTACCATCGTCTCCAAATTGTTGACCTGTGCCTGTGATAGTAAAAAATATTTAGGTTCATGTGTTTCTCCCCTTTCTAAATATCTTTTTTTGCTTTTTTGTTTAAAGCTGCTCAGTTTGGAAGGAAAGTGGCTGTTTTGGATTATGTGGAACCTTCTCCACGAGGTATGGAAGAGAGATAATAGCACGTGTGAGTTAGGTGATCGCCTAGGAGACCAACTTGCTCCAGCCAGCAAAATGGCCAAAGCCACGCTGTCTGCTCTTCTTGTAGTAAAAGTTCTTAAGCCCAGATTGCTGTTACTGCTTCTTACCTCCAGTAACATCCCAGCTTTGCCCGCTTCCTTCACGTGTTAAGGTTGTTAGCAGTGTGTGGTGCTAACGCTTGTGGTAGACCTTGGACATAAAAGGATGGGAACGCTAATCATTTCTATGAAAATGTTGTTTACAGTTCCTTAAGTGAATGAATCATATGTTGAAGCTTTACTTGTACTGTATGTAAAATAATATAGGCAAATAAGCAAATATGAGTGTGTAATACTTGGATCTTTTGAGGCCTGATATAATAAGATAACTAAGTATGATATAATAAGATAACTAAATATTTTCCTTCTAAAATTCAGGATATGTTCTTTATCAAAACAAAATAATGTAAGTGGAGTTAGACACTGATCTGTAAGCGATAGAAAACTGTGTGCCATTTCAGAATTTTTAACTAATAGTATGAATAACCTAATTCCATCAATAACCCAACTGCATTAAGTTTAAACTAACCCGCTACATTAAATTCTTTTTTCCTTTAGGAACCAAGTGGGGCCTTGGTGGAACTTGTGTGAATGTTGGCTGCATTCCTAAAAAGCTTATGCATCAAGCAGCTCTTTTAGGAAGTGCCCTTAAAGATGCCCAACACTATGGCTGGAATATATCCCAACCTGTTCAGCATACCTGGTAAAGAATATTGCCCCTATCTGCTCATGTGCTGAGAATGTGTAACAAAACTCTTCCCTGTTGCGGTTTGTTTAAAGACAGTTAGGAAGCTGAATTTTGCATGATGTTTTTTAGACTGCCCTTTGTTTAAAAAACAACCCCTATTTACTAGTTTAACAGGGCACATACTATGTTGATTTGAATTTGATAATTTACTTTTTATAGCAAAAACTACTGTAGAACGTTCCTAATTCTAGCAACTGCCTGAGATGTGTTTTCTGAGTTTGTAACCTGATGGTTTAGTGCTGTTTCTTGTTTTATGATAGGTCGGTGATGGCACAAGCTGTTCAGAATTATGTGAAATCCTTGAACTGGGGCCACAGAGTGCAACTACAAGACAAGTAAATAAGACTTTGAAGTTCATCTTTCCTCCCATAATCAAAGAACTCTTCTTATCTTTGTGGAGTTACTGAATTGCCTTTGAAATTTCTCATTGGAGCTAGTATTTTGAGTTTGTAAGTCCCTTCCTCTTGAAACTGTAGGTACCCTTGCCAGCATAAGTAAGGTTTTTTTTTTTTGGTTTCCTTTTTTTTTTTTTTTTCTCCTGGGAAATAGTGCCTGAAAGTGACCATATGTGAAAGCTGTCCATCAGTATGATGATCAGGGAATGCACTCTTTAGTCTGGAGAGATTCTGCATATTAAATAGTCAGGGTTTCTCTTAAGATTGTTTCAGACTTGTCCACCAGAACTTGCATGCCATATTAGTAAGCACGTAGATAATACTATACTAAAGTAGTTAAAACTTTTGTGTTCAGTGCTGACAAGGTTCCAAGCTTTTCAGCATGCGGGTCTTTCTCATGTTTGTGAACTGCCATGTTCCTTCTATATAGAAATTATATTAATAGATAATTTAACAGGTACATAATTTTGTGACTTCTACTGATAACAGAACAAATCTTAAAGCTGCTTTTTTGCATGTTGTCAAATGAGCATTATAACAGAATAATAATGCTATGGATATGTGGGGACATATGGATATGCAGCATCTGTCATTTGAAGAGGTCAATAACTTGATGCCCAAGCATGTTGCAAGGTTAGGTACTCTCTCTGCTGTATAGAGGAGTGACCTGTGGCACAAGAATTAAGTGACCGAAATTATATGGCAGAGCTGCAAACAATCCTGTGGAATTAGATTGTTCCTTCCTTTTCCTTTCCTTTTCTATGCCTAGTTGCTTTTCTTGTTAGCCCTTCAAATATGAAAAGACTAGCTGATTCTATTTCATTCCTATTCATCAAGCGTGCATGTATGTTGCTGCTTTCTCTTGAACAGGAAGGTGAAATATTTCAACATCAAAGGCAGTTTTTCAGATCCACATACAATCCGTGGTTTAACAAAAGCAGGTAAAGAGGTGAGCTGCTGTACTGATTTCCGTACCTTCACTTCAGATAGTTCAGGTCTTCATATCTCAGTTTTCAGATCAACTGGTGACGCTAGAACCTACCTTTGCAAACTGCATTATGGTTTCAGTCTCATTTTTAGTGAGGGAAACTAGCCTTTTTGATCTAGAGAAGGCGTTTAGGAATTCACGTATTGCCTACCGAACCCTTAGCCCCTAGCCTGTCAGTTAGATGCCATTGCTACTTCTTTGCAGATGGAAACACATATTATTTGTTTTGGTCAGAAACGTATGGTTTTTACAGATGCTGAACGATTTAGGACCAACATGTCCTTATTGCTATTAAGCTTTAGGTCAAAATCACTCTAAGAGATGTTTTCCTCCTTCAGCTGAATTGTGAGGGCACTTAAGTTCTCTAATACAGAATTGCGTGCAGGAGTCAAGGATACAGAATGTGCTGCCTTTGACTTCAAGCATCTGGGTCAAATAACAATGGTTGCCATTTCTATATATTTAGCAAAAGACTGGGGATGAGTTTTTATCACCTTTTAAAGGGGAATTATGTAATGTTGTTGATTAATATCAGCGTTAGAGAGAGCGAAAGTTTTGGGAGCAGATACATAGCATTTTCCAAAAAAATGTCACTCTTGAGGTACATTGACTCTAGGCCTGAGAGACAGAAGTCACTGGTGTGATTTGTGAGTACTATTCTAAGCTAAATTGATTTTTAAAAGCTGCCATTTGTGCACAACTGTTGCTTCCAAGTAGTTATCAGAATCTAGTCCACTGTAGGAACAATTTTAAGCTTAATATTAAGAGGAAAAGTGATAGAGAATGTGTACAAGAAACTTCTGTGCTCTTTTGCTCTATAACCAACCTTTCTTAATGTATTTCTGATCAGTGTGTCAGGTCAATAGCAGAGGGTAGTGCCAGCTTTCTCATTTATCGCTTTAGCTTGTACGTAGCTAAAATCCAGAAGCGGGTAAAAGGATTTCAGATGCTTGGTTTTGACTGTGTGCTTTTGTTTGCAGACTGTTATTACTGCAGAGAAAATTGTCATTGCCACTGGAGGAAGACCAAAGTATCCTACGCATGTAAGTTATGCTTGCCATTTGATCTCTCTGATGGCTTTATTGCTTAGTTACAGATAATAATGAATGTTTGGAAGATAAAGAGTGTAAACATAAAGTAAAATGTGAAAGGTTTCTGTACTTGTGTCGAGTGTGAAAAATTTATCCTATATAAAAAGCATAGGCTTTTCAGAAAAATATTTCCCTAGAAGATATTTTGTATCAGTGTCATATGTCAGTGTTGCTTAGAGTCATAGGATAACTCAGGTTGGAAGGGACCTCAGGAGGTCCAACCTCCAAATGAATGCTTCTGCAAACACCAACCAGGACTCCCAGCAGCATTGCCAGGTTTCTCCACAGTCCAAAGATGGAAACTGGACAACCTGTCTGGACAATCACTTCCTCTGCTTGCCTGTCATCATGGTGAAAAAGCGTTTCCTTTTATCAGCTCAGAGCCTTTCTTGTTTCAGTTCATATCTGTTGTCGCTTGTCCTCCTGCTGTGCACCACGACGAAGAGCCTGGCTCTGTCTTTTTGATAACCTCCTCACAGGTATTGGAAGGCTGCTATTTGGTCCTCCCACAGTCTTCTCTTCTCCAGGCTGAACAAGCCCAGTTCCCTCAGCCTTTCCTCCTAGGCCTTGTGCCCCTGGACGTCTTGGTGGCTCTTTGCTGAACTTGCTTCAATTTATCAATGTCTCTCACGTATTGGGAGGCCCAAAACTGGATGCGGTGTTCTAGGTGTGGTTTAAGCAGCACTGAGTTAAGGGGAATAATTGCTCCCATTGACTGGTGGCTACACTTCTGTTAATACAACGCAGGATGCTGATAGCTGTCTTTGCTGCCAGAACTTATGTTGTAGATTCAAGATTTTACCTGTCTGTTCATAGATTGCAGGTGCCCTGGAGTATGGAATCACAAGTGATGATCTATTCTGGCTGAAAGAATCTCCTGGAAAAACGTAAGCTACCTTGCCATGGCTTTAATAGATGCTAATGTTTATACTTTTTGTTACAGAAAGGTGACAAATGTTCAAAATTGCCACTTTTATACACCAGTTTTCCTCTCTTTCTGTTTGCCTTCTGAGGGTTTGTTTTGCTACATGTCAGCATTGCTCTACCACCCTTCATAAGTAAATGATACAGAGTGTTTTGGCATTAATACTCTCTTTCAAAATCAAATTAGATATGAATTCTCACCATTTTAGGTTAAGAGAACTTGTTTGCTGTAGCAGTTATATATGGAAGTCACAAGAGGGCAGCATACACTTAAATGAAGGCTGCATTGTTCCTATTTGCTGTTCTTCTTAATTAGGAAAAAAAGTCCAATATAATTTTATTTATGTTCGCTGAAGTGGTATTTATGATGATAAAGGCGAATGTGATGAGACATGGGGGTGATCTTTGCCATTCTTTTATGTATTGGAAGCCATTGTTTAATTGAAATACTAAATTTTTTTAAATGGAAATACTAAAATGCCATAGTCTATTGTGTTTTGTACAGTACCTAACATGTTAAGATCCTGAATCAGCATTGCACTACACAGCAATTTCTTGATACAAATAATTGTACTAGGAAATGCACAGCTGCTAGCATGAAAGTCAGATAATACGATTTTTACTTTTCTCTATTGAGCAACTCTAGAAAAAGTCAAGTATTTATTAGAAAAAGAGACTTGTGACCAGTATAATCCTGGTATTTTGAAAGAAAATAGAGCTGCCATTCATAGCTGTGACTTTCTAATATAAAAATATGTTAGCCTAAACATCAAATAGATAAACAGGGCTCCTTAGTACAGTTTAAAAAGGAAACGAATTCTGCAGTTGTTTTCAGTACATCAGTCACCTCTTCAATTTTGAGAGCTTGATTTATGTGAGGAAATTTGGGATTTTTTTGGTTTTTGCTTTTTTCTTTGTTTTGTTTTTCAAGCCTAAACACAAGATTTATCCCTGTAAGATGTTTCTGTGAAAATGTGGCTTTTGTCCAGTTGCTGCTAATGCAAGTTGTAACAGTGTAATGTGGGAGTCTAGTGTTTATATGTTACATTCCTAAGCTTTAGTCAAAATAAGCCTTGAGGGGCTACAGTAGCATTTCTGTGCTTTATCAGGCTATGTCCTAGCAAATGAAGGAGGGAGTTGTTAAAGGTTTGTTTCTGTCGGATTTGTATCAATTATAAATATTCCCAAGGTTCAGTTTAATGCCTTTTGTTGTAGTCTGAACTGCATTCTACTTTTTTTTCTTTTTCTTCAACTATATATATGTATATACATAATTACATGGCTAGGGGGTACAGAACTGTCAGTCCTGCAGTTATTCATATCAAGGAGTTTTTTAAAAGGAAAGAAAACCGTTAAGCAACAAACCTAGGAGTTGTAAGAGTCTCCTGAATATATAAACAGCATGAAGAAATTCTCACTACTGAAATGAAGGATCCTAGCAGAGTGAGTTAGAAAAGGTGCCTTGAAATATGTTCAGAGTGAGTGAGAGACGAAGCAGGTGGGAAGAATGTTAGGTTCTGCTTTCTAAACTTTTCATTTAGTCTGTGGGAGAAATTGTGAATAATGTGCTGCTGATGTTATGAATGGGTGCCCACTGGCATCTATTTTTCATTTAATGATTAAAAAAGAGCAAACATATGCCCAAGCTACAGAAATTACCATTCTACTCCCTATGTGTCTCCAGCAGATGTTTCATTATGGGCAGAATGTGGGTTTTTTTGCAGTGCTTCCTGGGATCTAAAGGCTGCAAGAGAGGAATATTGTTCATTTACAGATAAATCAGGTGCTCTAATGCTGGGAAAGTTTGACTCCTACTGTGTTAAATTGTTTGCCAAACATAAAACCCAGACTGGCAGATTTTAATCTCTTTAGCTTAACCTGTTCCCTATACACCTCTAGAAGGTGCATGTTTTTATTATAGGATAGATAGATTTGAAAACATCTGTTATACTGACTTCCATCCCTGGGGCTCACCCAGCAGCAGCCTACATCTCCCTCCTTTATGGAAGTTTAGGAGGATCTCTCTTGAAATTGGGAGATGGTGCAAGCTGGTTTAGGGTGGGGTATGGGCCACAAGCCAGTGTTTCACCTAGTGTTCTGTTCTGCTTGGCCTAGCATTAAAAAAAAAGAAAAAAAAAAGAAAATGGAAGGGAAAAAGGTGAGAGAGATATTGCCAAGTATTGGACTTGTTTCTCTCTTGGCAATATTGTGAAATAATAACTTTCCTGAGGATATATGGCAAGTCAGTGGCAAGGCCAAAAAGAAGCCAGATTTCCTCTCTGCAGCGTACATTATACCTCTTAACATTGTTTTTCAGTTGCTATGTATGCTTATATATAAAACGTTCACAGAAAGACAACGAGAGCCTTCAAAATTTAAAACAACATCTCTGTCCTTTTAAGCCTGTAAACCAGTAGATTTTTGGGGGGCAGGGGGGAGGGGAAAGTCATTGCTTTCTAAATTTATTATACTTTAAATTGGGGATACCTCCTTATGAAAAGTTTCCAATGCATATGACACTTTTTTTTTTTTTGTTAGGCTTTGGTCTGTGTGTGGTTTTCCATAGATGTAAGGGTTTATGTTAAATGTATTTTGTGAAGCACCATACTTGTGTATGCTACTTCAGCCAGGAATCAAGCAAAAAACGCAGAATATAAAACAGCATGGGAGGATTGTTAGGGCATAGGTTGCAATTTCAAATGTATTCCTTCCTGTGATCTGACTGCTCTGAATTTTCACCTGTTCAGAATATGTTTTGCAAAAACGGTTTTGTTTTGTTGCTTAGAGCTTTTGAGTTAATTGAGGAACAGCTGTTGTAGGAAAAGGCCTTTATTTAAAGGATTATTTCCATGCAACTGTTCTTTCTGCTGGCATTATCTGTGTTGCTGAAGCTTATTTTCCTCAGTGCAATCAAATGAGGTTGGATATTGGTGAAAGGATATAGTAAGATTCTGTGACTCTGCCAAACAGGAGGAGACCATTGCTTATGCTCCCGACTTCAAATTACCTGTGAAAACCCTGTGATTACATGGGTTTCTGATTTAAGTAAATTTCTAAAGAAAAGAGAAGTTGGAAAACATGAACACTAGCATTCCAAAAAACAATTAGCAAACTGTGCTTCTTCCGTCCTCCCAAAAATCCAGGGTTGTTTGTTGTTCTTGGTTTTTTTAAGCCTTTAGGTGTCTCTCATACTGCCATACCCATTTAAAACAAACAAACCAACCTCGCACACAAAGCACGCTACCTACCCCCACCCCACCCTGTCAAACTTTTTTTAAGATGAAAGTTCTTCAGAAGACATGTAATTCCATAGGGGGAAAACAGGGTCCAGAAAAGCCTAACGTTCCACACTGGCTTCATAGTAACTGGGAATTTTGATCCCTAATGATGGTTTGTTTGTTTGTTTGTTTTTTCCTAATTCAAAACCTGAAGGTATACCTTTGTACCAAATGTACACAAATATTACATGGAGTGCATCTCCAAAATTTGCACAGTGCATGAACAGCAAAGGTATGCAAGTGCAGCCTGTCCAGCAGCTGAGAGCCAGTGGCTGGCTGGCTGCTAGACCCACATTTAGCTTTAGGATGGTAACTGAGCATGCCGTCTTTTGTGTAGCCAGCAGATGTATCAGGGTAGGAGAGAATTGAGGATGTCGCAGAAGAGAAGATTGCTGCAGTGTAGAGTGCATATGGGGACAGATGTAGAAACTGTTGTGGGGGAGAGTTGATACTCATCATAAATTAAAAGTGTTCATGGGCAACTTTAGTGGTATTCTTGATTGAGAGGGTGTGAAATACGGGGAGAGGTAGGAACTGGAGTTTTATTCAAGATTCAAAATGGGTGTTTTTGGTAAACAGTAGTCTAGGTAAATCCATTTAACGGATTTTCTGTAACCATGGAGTGTACACAGTTTTGAAGACAGGAAGGGCGAATATTTGATATTTTCATAAATGATGAAAAGCAGATGATTATAAGTCAAAATGAAATTTAGCAGTGAGTAAAATGTGAAAGTTCTTCTATGTGGAAGTGTAATCTAGTTGATAGGAACGTTAAGAATTTAAATCATGCTTAACTTCTACTTGTATTAAATTTTTTTAAAAGTATTAAAAAAAAACCAAACTATACAGCTTTTGAGATATACTTGAGTTCAGGCAAGACTGCTGCAATGTCTGTATATTTACATATTGTCTACTATCTCAGAGGAGGAGAAAGGAAAGAAGGGTGGCTTAGCCTTAAGAAGAAAAAAAAGAAAGAAAAAAAAATCCACCCCAAATCCCTGTGTTATGTCTGTTGATATGCAATATTTCCTTGTTGTTCTTAAATCGTAGTCTGAATTTTAACTTCCAGATTGGGCACCTAATGCACATCTTCAAAGAAGGTTAGCATGTCAGTCATTTACTTATAGATTTAAGTTTGTCACTAGGATTATTCATACTTGATAAAGGGATGCTGAAGTGCTCAGCTGTACTGCGGAGAAAACAAAAAGAAGTGTAATGTATGTCCTTCGAGTCTCTTGCACTGGGTAGTCTACTTTCATCAAGGGTTGAGGGTATTTTTTCAGGGCCAGGGTGCTTAGTTTTTTTTTTGGGGGGGGGGATTCAGTTGCTCTCATCCCCTGAGCTCACTTCTTATGCAATGCTGGACAGTTGAAAGTTCCACTCTCTTAACAAGATTCATTAGCATTGCTTCATATAATAACTTCAGGAACGTTTCTGTCACCCAGCTCTTGCAAAGCAGCTGACTTCCAATTGTTTCAGCAGTGACCTATAGCATTAATCTAACAAATTACGCTATTATTATCTATAGGGATTGGTGCTGTTATTAGAATTGTCCATTCTAACATTACCTTACTTCTTCCAAAGAACCAGAGAGTTAATTTAACTAGGCCATCCATAGCTTAGTTTTCTCCATCTTGGGATTTGTCTTTTAATGTATAATATTCCCCTGATATTTGACAGGTGGCTGTCTGTATATCCCTTATAAGTGAGAGGATTTAAGTCATTTATATTTTAAACAGCTTGGATCTGCAAATGAATGAACATTCAGGCTGCTGCAATGGCAGCAGGAGAACTTCTTGAGGGTACCTGTTCTCTAGAAGTGATCTCTGAGTAGCACAGTCTAACTAAAGGGTGATGGAGTATTTCATTCCATGAAGAGGATTTAGCATGCTTGTGAAATAATCAAATTTGTCATTCTGCATTCCCCACGTGGCTTGGAAGAGCTGAGGGAAATTAATAGCCAAACTGGGCAGGTGAATCTTCCTTGAAGATACAACCCACCCAGTGGCCATCCCAAATTCTTAAATTTGGGTGCCAAATGTCTCCCAGGTTAGTAATGATCTTTCTGCATTCAAGACACAGCACCACATTGTTTCTGTCATACTCTAGTCGTGTTTAGAACTCCCTTGAGCGTGGCTCTGGATAAGGTTTCTGGGAGAAATGGTCTTGGACCAGAAAACTCCCAGAGTTTCCAATTTTATTGCCGTTCTGTTTTGTTGTACCGACTGGCACACAGCGGTGCTGCGAGGCCCTGTAAAGACCAGGCATCTACTGGAGTAGGCACTGGGGGGGGGCGAGGGGGGGAAGTGTCAGTTTCCCCTCCAGTTCTTCCAGCTGAGGTGCATCAGTTAGAGCACAAGTGAAGTATATTTTGCTTCATCTGCTTGGCCTTTAAGAAATATTTGTGATGCCTCCTAACCTTGCTAGTTGCTCTGACTTTTTTATGGCTTTCTTCAGTTTGTCTTTCAGAATGTTTATTTAAATGTCTCTTTGCAATGTAAAAATGATTCCATGTTTCTTGTAAGCCTGTTTACTTTTTATTCTGTTAATAAAATAAGCTTGAATGAAATGTGACGCATTTGACTGCTTTCTTTGAGATTGATTAGCCATGTTCTTTCTTCCCATCTAACAACAGCAGATCCACTACTCAAACCCATAATCTTGTAACCATCCATACTTCAGAAAATAATTTGTCAGTTGTGCAAAAATATGCACAAGCTCGTTCCATTGCTTTATTCCTTCCTTTTTTTTTTATATAACAGGTTGGTTGTTGGAGCCAGCTGTATCCTTTGAAAAAGCTGTAATGATTTATGATTCTAAGCAGCGTAGCTTTCTTTTCCATGAAAGCTCCGTTTTCTGAATTCCTTTGCTCATGCCCTGTAGTTAAGTAGGTAATATACAATAAGAGTTTTCTATTTGGTATCATCATGGGAATTCAGGTCAGCTGAGGATGAATACTGACGGCCTTAAAAACAATCCTGTCATCCTGTCTATGAGGAAAGTATTCTAAGGCTATTGATCTTTACTGAATAGACAACAGAAGTGTGCTCAAGGTGTTGCCTTTGCGAGGAGAACTTGATTTCTCTAGGGAGAAAGCCCGCTTGTGTACTGCCCTTATTTCTGTTGCATTGATATGAAGTTGTTTATATTTCTTTAACTGGTATCTCCCCAGATGTTTCACTTGAGTGTGCTGGTTTTCTAACAGGCATTGGATTGGATACTACAGTCATGATGAGAAGTATTCCACTTCGTGGGTTTGATCAGGTGAGTTACAAAACATGTTACAGCTTCATATGTATGTGGAATATAACAAAAGGTATGTTGGTGATTGTTGTCCCCCCGCCCCAGCAGTGCTTGGAAGGTTGTGTAGCAGGAGAGAGATTTGACTTATCCCACAGTGAAAAGCATTAGATGATGTCTTTAAAATAACGTAGAGTTTCTAAGAATTACGGATAATGATTTTTAAAATAAAGTATTGCACTTAATGTGAAAGTAGTTCAATGTGGAGTTCATTATGATGAACAAAAATAGATTGCTAAGTGGAAAGGTTGTAGTGACATAGGATGTGGGAATCTTGACCTTACTACTTTCAAAACAGGCAGACAGTGGCAGTCCTAAAAAAAATTAAAAAACAAAAAAATATGGTGATTTCAGTGGACCAGAAACCCTAAGCTGCAGAAAATTATAAGCCGAATCTCTCAGGCAAAGAAGACAGAAAAAATGTATTTCAAAATTGGGAAAAATTTAGAGGTGTTTGTTAAAAGGCCAGATAGTCATGATTGTGCTGACAAAACTGAGAAGAGTTTTGGCCAGAATCCCATTCTGGTATAATGAGAATAAAAGCAATTAAAAATAGTAAAGGCAAAAAGCAAAAAATAGGTTTCTTATAGGATTTGTGTAGCATGTAGATTTGCTTAGAGAAGCAAGAGCTGGTGGTGTAGCAGGTTAAAGTCAAGTTATTGGATCCAGTAAAGCGTTATTTGGATGTGAGTCCCTATCCTATGTTCTACAGGTTAAATGGTCTTATTTGATGGCCTGATAGTCCCCTTGGTCCCTAAATCCGTAAGCAGAGTACTTTTATGGGTGACTGTAGATTTTCCATCCCTGCACAGTTTGGTGCTATCACCGCTCTGAAAGAAAAGTTTCAGCAGTGCTCTTACAACAATGGGAGCCTCCTGAGTTTTCACTCCTGTCCAGGTGAACCTTTTTCTTTGACGTTTGCATGAAATTTCTTCTTGGGTAAATAACCTTGGCAAATTTCAGCTTCAGGAGTGAAGACTTTGTCAAATTAATCACTTGAAAATAATATTTCCAGAATGGAAACCAATGCATGTTGAATTATTCCTGATATCATGAATCAGGATTTTTTTTTTTTAATGCTTAATTGCAATAGTGCAAAACACTTACAGGCCAAAGTTGATGAAATAATTATGGAGCTGTGAGCTCATTCTTAAGAACTGCTTTGCACACCGGCTGTAGGAAAACTATTTTTAAAATGTGACAACACAGTGTATGCTTTTTAGTTAGTTTAAGATAGGTGCGCCGAAACTCCTATTTGGAGGAGAGAGTACTGCTGTTAGCAGCAGCAGTGACAAGTACCACTGTGGGTAGTGACAGCTTCTGGTTGCATGCCAGCCACTACCGCTTTGAAGTGGCTTCCTTAAAACTAGTGGTATGTGTACCGGAGTTTGCGAAATACTGTAAAAGAATGTGTCTTGGGATTTACTCTCATCTTTGAAGAAAGCTACACCTGTAACAGCATGAGATCTAAGCAAGCAGGGAATAGTGTGCTAAGAGTGTTTGTGGTGCTTCATAAAAAACTTAAAGTAGGGCTTTCTCCAAGAACTTGCAGGCAGAAAGAACACATCGGCAAGCTCTAAGTTAAGAGGGAATAGAGATAAAATAATTGTATTCGGGCTGTAACCGTCCTGAGTCTAATGGAAAATGATTAGTGAGATATCACGTTTCAGAAGAAAAATAATGCTGTTGCTTTCGTGTTACTTAGTCACAACTTCAAAAATAAAGTTTTGTAAGCCAAGAGCTTGCATGTACTTCTCTTGTGTGAGTGGCTTTGTGATAATAGCCTTTAAGTAATAAACATATTGTGTGACAAAGTGAAACCTGAATTACTACAGTCAGGAGCAATGACATCTTTGGATAAACCTGTTAATGCGACGCTTCACTACTTGACTGTGGTGTGGCATTATTTCAAACAGGCTCTTAGGACAAAAGCGTTATTTCCTTTTGTAGTAGAACTTTCCAGGAAACCTTAGTGAATCATAGTCTTTGCAGTGGAACGACAGGTGTCGTGGCAAAGGGAAATATTTTTCTTCCTTAGCTTTAGGAAAGTGTTTAATTCCCTTCAAGCTGCCAGAAAGTGGTAATTATAGCAATGTTAAATTGAATTTGCTTTAGATGCTATTTTTGTGTAAGTATCAAATTATGTAAAAGCAACCTTGTTACTCATATGATATTTTACCTTTTTGAAAATAATTTGAATGTTCCTAGGACACAGGTATCCTTAATGAGGGTGGAGTTGCAGGTCTCAAATGCATAGTGGCTCAACAAATCACAATGTGTTAGCAGTGCAACGGTAAGTAAGTGACACAGAATGCTTGAAATGCAAGATGTATTTACAGGGTTTTCATGAAGACAGCTGAAGGAGGGTTTTGCATTAAAAAGACTATATATCTAAGTTTAAACAAACTTTTTTTTTTTCCCCTGCTCAACAGCAAATGTCCTCTTTAGTAACTGAGCACATGGAATCTTATGGCACAAAATTTTTAAAGAAATGTATCCCGACCAAAGTTGAAAAATTGGAGAGCAACAAATTACAAGTCACCTGGAAAAATACTGACTTTGGCACAGAAGAAACAGATTCCTTTGACACGGTGATGTGGGCAGTAGGTAAACTTGATTATTCTAATGTTTATTTGCAATGCTTGCTATTTGGAAAGCGAAGTCCCCTCATTGTATTGGATGGGGCCAAACAGCCTATTCTTTTTTAAGATTTAGCCACCTAAGCATTGGTGCTTTGGTTTTTGTTTTGTTGAGTTTTTTTGTTTTTTATTTTTAATTCATTTCTTCCATACGTGACTGGAAGACTTTACTTTCAGTTTAAAAACACATGAAAGTTACACTGAATGAAACAAATCCATGGTAATGCTGCAATAAATGGGAGATATTTTCTTCTTCCTCACGTTTACTGGAGGATGAGAGCATGAGCACCAGCAACTCCTGTGGTGCAGTCAATGTTCTCCAAGTCCACACTCTGACTTATTTAGCTATTCACTGAGTAATTTCTATTACTCTGTTTTAAGAAGGCTACCATTTCTTCTAGAAATTTCAAAACTGTGCCTGTTAAGTTTGTTACTACAGTTGCAGTGCTGCATCATCCAGTTCACAGAAAGAGAAGCAATTATTTCTAAAAATCCAAGTTCATCACAGGGAACCTGGCAGCTTGGAGGCATTTGAACTCAACTTAGGATCCTCCACGTACCTCAATTCTGAGGGGTCTGATATACGATGCCTAAATCAGAGTAAATCGGTGTAAAAGGATTTTTGTGGAACTAGCTCTAAGGATAATCACCCGAAACAGGAATTAAATCTGTTGATTCAACTGCTACTTTTTGTAAGATATAACACAGATTGCTATATGGTACAAGGCTCCAGCCCACAGAAAAAATACTTTTTCTTTGTTGCCTCCCCAAGCTGACTGTTTGCTGCTGCTGTCAGTTGGCCTTAAGCTCTTGCATTGCTTCAGATGGATAGACTGCAAGCCCATTGGAATAGGAGGCCTCTTGTCTTCCGTGCTTATAAAGTTTTGTGAATATCTGGAGTTCTAGATAAATAATAAATGGCTAAAGGCAATAGTGATATTTGGCAAACAGATGACATCTATCAAACCAAGTAACTATATGCTTGAATGTGCTGCCCAAGAAATCTGATTTAATACTGAAGAACAATTAGCTTTACCAGCAGCTTTAGAAACTGATTTTTAATTCCATTTATATGTAGAGGTGGTTTTTTTTTGTTTTGTTTTTTTCCTCTGACATTACTGCTTCATAGAAGCAGGGTGAGCATCACTATTCCAGCTGGGGAAGATGAACAAACAGATCAATTTAAATTCTTGAGGTTATAGAATGTATTCATGACAGGAAATAGGAACACCTCATTTGCAGCATTTTGTGTTTTGCCCAGTAGACTAAATCTGCAGTCCTGTTGTTCCTTTCCCCTGCTTAAGTCAACCTTATATCTTCCCAATACCCCAAACAGAGAACAGGCTGTGTGTTTTGACCAACTTTTTCTTTAGATTACTGTGATTAATTTCTCTTAGAAGTGTAATGAGTTTTTATAAACTGTAGAAACAGCTTTTCATAGTGGATCACACTCATCATAACCAAAGACACTAGTGCTTGCCTAGAGCAAAAAAGGCTATGCTGGCTGGAGCTGTGACAGTCCAAAACACTGTAGAAAAATATTCATGAGGTGAGATCAATTTAAGTTCTTCAAAACTGTGGGTTTCTAAATGTGACTTCTGATTTTCCTCAAACTTTCCAGTAGAAGTGCGCTCTGATGTGGAGTCACACCTGTGAAATTTCAAGTCAATTTGTTTACTTTTGTCAAGGTTGGAAATAAGAGCTTTTAAATTGAAATAATACAAAAAAAATCTTAATTATAATAAGGTTGAATGGTATACTGTTGCAAGTCAGTTGTAATGTGACTCCATGCACTACTTTGATGTGCAAAAGAACACATTATAATTTTTGTCATAGACTTGAGTTAAACTCCATATTTAGGAACTGCAAAATGAAAGGGTTGAGGGTTCCCCCCCTCCAGTGTTCAAATTTGCGCTCCACCCTTAAGAATTAAACACGTTAACAGTTAAAGCTGGATAACTGATGTGCAGTCTGCATGATTCATTGTTTTTCTCTGTATCAACACACCCACACCAGGTGTCTCAGATAATAGACTGGGAAACTTGGTAGTGTTGAGGATTTCCTGTCTGCAGATGTGCCAATTACAATGCTGATTGAAGAAAGTCAGCTTGCAGAATTAGTTAGCAAGCAGCCACTGTTGTTAACTAATTGTAGCCTGAATTGTAATAGATATTTCCTTGATTTTTGTAAATGCATCATGGCATTTTAGTAGGATTTTATTAGGCTTAATAGGATTTTATGAATAAAGTTAAAATTGCTTACTGACAGTGCAGCAGAGTTACATTTGAAGGTTTCAGTCCAAACCCTTTGTAGATAGCTGTCAGAGGTCTGTGTTACCTTGCTGAGTGACTATGCTCTATTGCTCACTGAAACAGATCTCTCTTGATATTTATTTGATTTTTGTCTGTCTTATCCTTCAATGTTCTGTCTTTTACTAGTGCTGTCTTCTGCTTGTGTGAGAAATATCCTGAACTGATAAGCTTTTGAGAATTTTTTACAAAGTGTGAAAACAATAAACTTCTAACATTATATAGTATTCCTCATGCTCTTATGGAAAGTTTCTTTGAGCCCTTGATAGGTGCCTGATGCACCTGAGCTACCAAGAAATGGTAAGTCTATGCATGCACAGGCTGAGTATAGAGTCTTCATCCAAAGAAAAGGGTAGAGAGAGATGCAACTGTGAGATGCTGATCTGTGAGGCAAAATTGCGGGAGATCAAACTTTTATATGCCGGGATTGCCTCACCTATCAGAGGGCTGAAATGTGTGGGTTGAACGCTGCAGCTGCAACACAGCTAATATGTAACAGGAACTGACAAGTAGTATTTCCATTTGAAATTGCAGTAGATGACAAAACATTATTGTTGTAACTGGAATTTGTCCAGGTAATTCACAGAGTCCTTGAAAAGATATTTAATTACCTCATATCTGATTGGGTCTTGCTGTGTGGAGGAGCAACACTGAGTTGATGATTAAACTAAGCAGGTGTTTATAAAATATCCTAAATTAGTTTGACAGAGAATGGGGATAGTGGGATAGCGTGCTAATAAATTCTCAACATAAAGAGCCATGAGCAGCAGCAGATTTAAAGTCTGGCTTTACAAAAGAGAGTTGTCTCCCCGATGAGAGCAGTGGAACAACCATTCTCAAGTTCCTTTGCATTCGCAGGCTTAGAGGAAGGCCACAGTGCCTTTGAAATAATATCAGCTTTGCTGTAAAAAGAAATTATACGTTTAGCTCTATGCAAAGCTGAAAAGGTATCAAGTGTTGCACATCCTATGCTATTAAGAACGTTGCCTTTTGTGTCAGACTGGATGCCTGGCAGATTTTTGTAGTGCGGTAAAGTAGGATCATCGATGTTCAAAATCAAGAAAGGGTTAAGTATATCACATTTGTTATACTAATTGTCTTCAAATCTTAACCGAATCAGTTTGGATTAACTCAGAAATTTTGTTTGGAGATCTTTGAAAAGTCCCATATGCTAGAATATTGCTGTGATATCCCGTGAGTGCAACTCTGCCAGCCCCTGTAGAAAGTGAATGGGCTTTAGATTCCTCTTTGTGAGCAAATGTTGCCATCCATATTTTAGCCTTTGGAGTGCACCTTGGTTGATCTCAAAAAAACTGTTACTGCTAATGTGATTTGGTATGCTTAGACTCTGGGTCTTTGTTCTGAACTCCCCTTGTGTCTCTTTCTCATTACCTTTAATTCATGACTACCTTAATAAGGTGTGGTTTCTGGATTCCTAATGAAAATTGTCACGCCGATTACATCAGCCGGTGCTGTTAGCTTTTTTTCTTTTTTTCTTTTCCCTAGTGTCTTGTTTTATTGACTTGTTTTATTCAGCCGGACTTGAACAATGCTATTTTTAATGTTCCAGTAATTTTGTTTGCTTTGAGAGGGGCTTGGATAGTACATGTTGCTTCTGTCCTTTATTTAACCCACCTACAAATTTGGAATATAACTCTTTATTCTACGTATATTACCAACTCATGGTTACCAAAATCACTCCTTCGTGTTGAGGAAAAGTTAAATGTTAGGCTAAGCCTCTAAAGTGCATGAGAGAATGTTTTGGAATTTGAACTATAAGCTGACATTTGATTTGATAAGCGTTGGCTGGCCTCTGACTTCAAAACCTAGCTGTTGGTATAAATAAATAAAAAACTGACTGGTGGAAAACACTCCAAAGTAATTTCATGAGACTAGTAAAATTAATATGACGTTTTCTGCAGAATACAGGTTCTGTTCGCCCATAAGCGTATAGGAGGTTGAAGCCAATGACCACGTTTGGTAATGGATCACGGGTACTGTTTTTTGACGCTGGAGAAACAGCTGTTAAGGACATGCAAAACCTCTGGTTACAGCAAGCTTAACATAGGAGAATTAATGTAAAGAGAACTGTAGCTTCCTTCTCAGAAAGCGTTTCTAGCTGATTTTACCTTGCAAAGGACCTTGAAAACAAAACAACTACAATTGTTAGAAGTCTGCCCTACGCTGTATGGTTCTCGTTTGGTTACACGGCATTTGCAGCTGCTCTTCTCTTCTGGTTCCAGTGGGACCAAAGTGACAACTCCTTGGCTTTTTGTCTGCAGATGCAAATAACTTCTGATATACAGTGGGTGGTAATAACCTGGGTGATTACTGATTGCACCAGGGCAGCCACAAGCTCACTGCTGAGAAGACTCTTCTGAATAATCAGTATAACTAATCAGTGCTACGAGAAACAGTACAGCCTTGCAGACTTAGCAAAGAACCGGTTACTACGCTGGCTCTGACTAGGGGTCAGATCTTTTTCAAATTGTGGCAGGCATGCTGAGAGTCTTTCAGTAACGGATGAAATGTTCAAAAACATCCTTGTAACCTTGGTGCACGCTTCTATCAATGGTGTAAGGCTTCTGAATGTATTTTATTTTATTTTTTTTTTACTTTTGTTCCTCCTACTGCAGTCAATATTTTTTCTGATCTGAGCATTAGTTATGCTGAATTGGTCCTCTTGTCTGTTGTCAGCTGGCTGTGTTTTTGTGAACGGCTTGTGGGTTTTCAGGAGGGATTTGGAGGAGGAAAGGATAGTGGTCATGAAACCGATTTGGGAGTGTGCGACACCCAGAGCAAGTTGGGAGAGAGTACCAACACTGTGGGAAAACAAAGGAGATTTTGATCGAGGTCAACCTGAGATCACAGATTGGGTAGAGGGGATAAAGTGATGGATTGAAATGCAAATGTATAGGGAAGACATGGAGAAGATCACTGGACTTAGGTTTTATGCCGGAAGAACCATCCTGCCACCCTGCAGAATCCTCACGGTGGCTTTTTGGCCACAGATGTTGACCTACCTGATAGTGAAATGCTTGGCTGGCTCTAGTTTGGATTTTTCAAATGCTAGGGAGCAAACAGACCGTTCCAGTTTCTGTGATTAAGAAGCTGCAAAAGACCCATTATAAAAGCTCTGCAGAGCTGCTGTCAGCTGTGCCTTTATCACCCTGGGAAATCTTGCTGTACACAGGAGTATGCTATCCATGGTTTACTGCTGCTACGTATTTACTTGACTGTGCCAACTCCTGTGGTTTCTTCTCATTTTAGCTGCTTTGGTCTCTGCTGATGTAGGTCCTGCACCTAAAGTCTCATTGGTCACTGCGGTCTGGTACTGCCTCTGCCTAATTCGGTGTGGAAACCTGATTCCTAGGACCGCTCAGCAGATGATAGGACAGAATTGCCACGTGACAGTATGACCGACCTGGTGCGTTTTTGGGATACATGTTTTAACTAGTCTCTTGTCACTCTCTAGCTAGGCTGGCTGATGGCCTCCTCAGTAAGCCATGTCACTAGGTTTTACACAACCAGGTCAAAACGCTGCTTTTTTTTTTTTTTTTCTCCCCTCTCTCTCAAAGTCAAAAGCGAATGGGGAGAGGCCCTGAGAAGAGATCCGTGTGATTTTTTTGAGTCGGTGTAGTTATTGTATGGGGTCTCTTAAAGATGAGATTATGGTGTAGTATTAAGAACGCAGTTGTCGCATAACCTTTTTAAGGGTCAGATTTGAATTGGCGCTTTTCTCCTAGATGTCTGGCATAGTGTCTTGCTGGTTTGAGTAAAAGCTAAAGCTAGTCTTGTCTTTCCTCATTCTTTACATTTCAGGGCAGCTGGGCATCTTCAAACTAAAAGCACATGTGCTGACTTGTGAAAAAGGCCACCTCTCTTTTGTGCCTGGTAGGATTTGACCTAGTTTTGTATTGCCCTCTGGATCTTAGGAAGAAGCTGTAAACTTGTACTGTCTTAAAGCTGTAAATGTTAGAAAACAAAACAAAAAAAACCCTTAAGTTATGGATGTGAAATAAATATCCTTCCCATCCGGTACTACTAAGAAATAGTAACAACTGATTCTGTAATACGAACAAGCGAATGTTGGGAAATGTCAGGATTTCCTGAATTTGACGTTGAAACTTACCACACCGCTTTGGCTATTCGTGAACCTAAGCTAGTGAATTTGATGTGAAGCAAGATGAGTAAGTGTAGTTCTAGTTTATGGGAGTGAGCCAGCACAGGGCTAAAGGCCAATAAAGTTTCAGCTAAATTTTTAATGTTTTATTATTGCTTTCAGAAATAATATTTAGGCAGTGAAGCTGGGAGATAAATTTCACTATGAGTAGCAACGCATTTTTTGTAACTCTTAGCTATTAATACCAAACTGTACATGTGTTAAAATAGATTGGAATCTAAAGGTTAAGTGTTATCCTGCAGATTTGATAAACTCAGCTGTTGTTGTTGTCACAGCTCTTTAAATGACTCTATTGACAGTTTTTCTTTTTTTTCTTCTTTTTTATTTCTTTTATGGTGCCTGCCGTTGCGTGCTAAGCTTTCTCTTGGCTCTGCCTGGCAGGAAAAAGGGGAAACTAGAAAACCCCATTAGCTGTCCATTTGCAGAATATCCAGGCTTTACTCTCAATACACAAAGAAATACAACGGTAGGAAGTTGTTTCACATCCGAGCCAAGATAAGGTCCTAGAGGTTTATTATTTTTGTTGCCTGATAGCATCAGGACTGGGGAGCAGGGGGCAGAGAAGGAACAGCAGATCAACATCCCATGGGGACAGCAGAAGGGAAGACAGACAGATAGCCAAGTGCCGACAGCTTCAGTCAGTACTCCCAGAGGAAGTGTTGGTTTCACCAGATGAAATTAATACACAGAAGTCTTTACAGAGGCATTCAGATGTGACATTGTTTGGGGGGCCTGGCTAATATGGCAGATGCATAAAGCAGTGAATCATATGTTTACATATAATTAGATCTGTATTGACAAGCCAGGTTTTCCTTTTGTTTAATAATTTCCTACATTAACATCAAAGAGCTTGTTTTTGTAATGAAAACACATTTCCCTTTTTGGTTTGCTTTGCTATGGTTTTGTATTAACATCAAACACAAAATCATGACTCCCACACAAAGGACAGAAATATATCCTTTTGTAGCCTCTGAAAATGGATGCAACATTATTAAACATCCTTCATTTGGATGTATTTGGGTACTCTCTTCTATGTGACCCTGTGTGTCCTTACAAATTCTGGGAGTACCTGATAAATTGACAGTGCGCATTAACTTTCAAATTGTGTTAGTAACTCATTGTGCTCGTAACTGTACAGAAGCTCAGTGTGGTGTTATCAAGACTTCGGCGATCTTAGTGGTAACTCTGTGCAGAAGACATTACAAAAACATTTTAAAGGTATATAATTTGAAATGTAATTTAAAGAGATAAGTCCTACGGAAGAGATGGAATTTAAAATCTTTGGAAGAGGAAGCTATAATAAATTTGAGGCTCAGTAGAATTTGCCTCATTTATCTTTAAATCCAGTGAAAATAATAATTTTAAATTCCACAAAATGCTTGTACAGTGTTTGACCTAAATATCTCAGCATTAAGGACTTTAGAGCAAAGTTGATAAAACTTTATTGCCCAAGCTAAGGGGACTAAAAAAACTTTAAAGTAAGTGTATAAGATAAGAAGAAAAGAGGACTTTAGGAAAGTTTAATGTTGGATGCATTACTAATAATCTGTGTGCACAGCAGGCTGTTTGTCAGTATTGAGTACCTTTCAGTTAGTGTTTACTGGTAATTGGTTGCTTGTTTGTTTATATATATATAATGTCTGCAAACTAAATTTAGAACATATGATAAATATTAAACCAACTGGCTTCTGCACATTTTGCAGTGGTTGGCATCCTGCATGTTTTTAAATGATACCTTTCTTCTAAATAGTCTAAGCAAAGGCAATGGTAATAGAGCTCCTTTCACAAAGGAATTCATATCCATACTTTTCACCTTTACAGCTTTTTGCTATCATTTTGTTTTCTTTCTGCTTGGACTATCAAATAGCACAAAGGACTTGGAAATCTATGATGAGAATTGCCAGTTTTGTAGATGAATTTTGCTAAAGTTCTCAAATAGTTTTTACATTAATTTCTTTTTTTTTCTTAAGGCCGAGTCCCTGACACTAAAACCCTCAATTTGGAGGCAGTTGGCGTGAAAACTAATTCTGAGACTGGAAAGATCATTGTTGATGCCAGCGAAGCTACTTCTGTTCCTCACATTTATGCAGTTGGAGACATAACAGAGGTACTGGGTCTACATAAACTATTTTACAATAACAGGAAGCCAACTTTGTTCCTGACTAATAACTAGTCCCCAGATATCGTCATGCTGTAGCGTATATATTAGTGTTTTGCCCTTTTTCATTTTTGTAGAGCTGTAGTGTTTATGTCAGCCACCTGGGTCAGTAATTTCTTTCACGTGGATTTTGTGAAGTATATCAGCATTAGAGATTATTACTGATGCTTATCAGGCAATGCATCATTGGTCAGAGGCTAATAATAATGTCTTTATCACTTTAATTATCTTTCTAATAATGTTTTTATCACTTCAAACATATGACTTCATGCTGCCTGTGAGTGCTGAGTGAAAATAGATTTTAGCTTCTGGAGTTGCACTTATTACTGGAGAATATACTTATTGAGAACGACCGTGGCAAATTCTGTAAATAATTTTAGTGTTTTGGGTTTTAATTGTGACTAAGACAGCATTTCTGTTCCGTGATACAAAATGTTTCTGATAAAAGTGTATGCCTCCAGAACAAAAAAAAAAGTCTATGCTCCAAGTACTTAATGCATTTGGCTTCTGTTCATGATTTGTGAATGATTATGCCATGTAAATAATAATGAGCCTTAAAAAAAAAACCAAAAAACAAAAGCCCCAACACGTTATTAGCTTGAACAAAACAATTTTCTTATTGTTATAGGTGCAAAAACAGAATTCTGTGGCCTTAATTTAATTCTATTGATAATCCAGAAAGTTATCTGTGACAAGAATCTCTTGCCCTGATCAAAATATGCTCAGATACTTCAAGTCACTTAATTTTCAGTTTGCAGAAGAACTGAGAATATCTACTGTATATATTTCAAGCTAGGCATCTTGAAATATTTTATCTTCATAAAATGCAATGTATGACTGGATTCCAAACTGTGCACTTACAGTGCAAAAAAGTTCCCATCTCTTACGGTCAAGATTGGCTTTGATATAGTGGAGACATCTTTTAAAAAGTCTCGAAATCTAAATGCTGTAGTGATATCCAAAGCCTTTTGAAGGACCTTTAAAAGGGTTGTCGCTGTGCGAAAGTCAGGTGCCCTGACTTTTTGAAGAGATGTAACAGGTTACACGATGTCTTGGGAATAGCTCTGCAAATTCCTGACTGGACTCTGGAACAGTCAGAGACACTTAAATCTCATAAATCTACTGACCACTCCTGACCTCTTCCCCTGTATCTAGGCATGTGTTTCTTCCTGTCTGTCTCCATCTTCATGTGAATGACTTGCCATTTCCTTTTCAACTGTGTTAAAACTCTTTCCTGCTCAGCTATTTCTCATTTTTTCATTACTCTCCACAGCTTTTCTGTCCTGTCTGGTCACTCAGAGTCTTGGGATTGTGTACAGTTCCTCTCCTTTTTCTCTGTCCGTGTGGAGTTTTCCTCTGTGCTTGTCACTTCGTGCTCTGGGATATTTTCTGAAGTCCTCTTTCTACTCACAATCACCTCCTCCCCCTGCTCATCCCCGGTATATGCCTTGGATGGGCCTCCTGCTTTCCAAACTTTTCTTTTTAATTTCATCCAAATGGCAGTTGTTAGAGGCAATGTTGGCAAGGCGTTTCATTCTGCTGCCAGTCTGCAGTGTTATTCTGGGCAAGTCATTTCCTTTTTGGATGCTTTTTGTCTTTTGCCCTTTGAGGATTTAGTTAACTAAGAAATGTAAAGTTGGAGGCAGGATGCTCTGCTCTTTCCTACTCCAGATCTAAAAAATCAGGCCTTCATTTATTTGTCATTTTCGTTTCTTTGTTAAACCTTGAGTTTCCTTTTCCTGCTTTTGTCCATCTTGGTTCAGATTTTCAAACCTGAATTGTGCAATAGGGACGTCTAAATGTAAGTGGTAAAAACCAGCAACCCGGTTTTAATTCTATGTCCAGTGTACAACTGGGAAAAACTGGAGAGTTAAATGAGTGCCTTGTAGAAATATTCTCTTAAGTAAATCACAGTATAGTACTCATGCCTTTATAAAGTTTAAAGATGGAAGGAATTCTTGCCATTATCAAATCTGATCCTTAGTGCAATGTAAGCCATGTAATTCCACAGCAGAACTGCTAAAACGCTAAGCAATAAAATTATTAAATTATTTTATTTGAATTCTAAATTCATTTTTAAAGTAGAATTGATTTAGATAATAAATCTCACTGGCATGGGAACCAGCAGTGAAACAAAGTTCACACTGTAGTTGGTGTGGTACGCATCTCAGCGAGATGTGCTTGATCCTTCTTTGTGTACTCTTTGAGAACCACAAAGCTGTGCAGCTTGGTGTGGGAGGTTCCTGCAGCGGCATTGCAAAAAGGGCGGGGAGGAGGATCTTGCTTCCTGCAAGTGAGCATCGGTGATCCCTCCTATTGCTTACAAAAATAGGATTTTGTCTCCAGTCTTCCTGTTCAGTACTCTTCTTTTTTCTCTGTTCTTTCCCTGTCTCAGTTTCTTTGCTACCATAAGATGCTATTGATTAGTTATACCTTTGCAAGTAACTTAATTCCTCCTCCTCTCTTTCCCATGCCACACTGAGCAGACACTAACTTGCTAGCAAGTAGCAAAAACCACGCGCGCGCGCACGCACACACATGCGCACACACACGTGCACACACTCTCTCTCTCTCAGTGCCCTGAAGGAGGGGAGGAGGGTGTTTGCTGACATGTTCAGAATGAGTGTTTTCATTTGGGAGTCTTACCCAGCTGGCATAAATGGGAAACTATGTGTGCATGGGTGTCTTGTTGCACCCTCGTATAGACAATGAAATCCTAAAGTTACTCAAGCTGTTCATTTGGAGAAAGGGAAAAGCCTCTCTAGGTTAGTTGGTTTGACTACCTTCAAAAGGTTTTTCAAGCTTTGACAAAATAGTGTTTTCAACTGACAGGTGAACTTGCATTTAGGTTTTTTCATCCTCTGTAGTCAGGATGAGGATGACCAGGCTGGAATTCTAATTTGAATCTTTGCTGTGCTGATCTGTGTGTTAAAATCCTTCCTCCAGTCATGTTGAAAAGCATGGCACAGACTATAAAGATGTTCTCTTAGAAGGAAGTTTATCATATGTACACAACACTAGACATCTGTCATATTTCAAAGGGGGTTAAACAAAGATATGTAGAGAAGGTGGAATGTATAGTATGTTGCTTTGAATAGAAATAAGACCAAAAAAGAGTCATGTTAGAGCAAATACACAGTACTTCAAAGCTTTTTAAACTCTCTTAGGAGCCATCTAGTTTAAATGTATAATGCACTGGAGGATTCTTATGAACAATTCATATACCCGTAATACTCAGCAGGGTAGTTCTACACATGACTGCAAAGTGAATGTTCATTTCAAATATTTACCAGAGACGGTATTTAAGCCATTGTTTATGAGAAATTGGGCTTTATCTGCATGGATGTTTTAGTAATTAGCTGGATTTTATGGAATGCGAGGCAGTGCTTTCACAATTTTATCTCTCGTTCCAATCATCTATTCATTTCTGGAATGCCAAAACAACATCTGTATTTCCTGCTACAGAAATGATTGGCAGCCATGTTTCAGGCAAATGTGTGTAAGAAAAAACAAATGGCAAATTTCATCTGATAAATGACATTTATAGACTTGAAAGTGAAAATGCTGGATTTGAAAAACTATGATTTGATGGCTCTTGGGGAAAAAAAAGATAGGTTTGCAGTTTCATGAATTAGCATGGGCTATGGGGAAAAATAGATTAGTCTTCCTAAGAAGAATAAGGAAGAATAAATTAGAATAAGGAGTCAGTTAGAATAAGGAGTGTCTGTTACCAGGTTAGACATAAGAGCTTTTAATGCCATTTGGATTTGCTTTTTGGAATTGAAGTCTGAACTTAACGCTTTTATCTATACTAATAACCACTTAAATACATATTAATATGCAGTTGAATGATATGGTATGTATACTGAAGAAAGTGGCAGCTAATACCTTTTACAGAAGCTATTAAACAGCATACAGAAAAGATAACCTGGGAAAGAGAAATGGATTGTAATAAATTAACTGCTCAAAAACATTAGGATAATAAATATTTGAAAAGCTTGAATGTGTGTGGTGGGAAATCTTTATTTTAATTTCTGCTAACGGTTCTTTTTGACAAATTATTCGACAACCACCTCCAAATGGAGCTCTATCCAAATGGAGAAATATGAAAAATGTTGGATCTAAACAGGACTTGTATGAATCAAAATTTCACAATTTTTGTAAAGCATTCCACACTTTCCCATGAAGGTACTATTTTCCAGTTATGGCTTTTTGTGTCTCCACGTCATTCCTTCTAGATTTTTGGCCTGTTTCTCATCTCAGACAGGCATCTTGATCTGTTCTTGGATAACTCTTGAAATGTTTTTGACTAAATTTATGAAGTTTATTAGGGCTTATTAACTTACATGGACTATCCTTCCTTAGACTTCAAAAATTCCTTTAGAAATGTGTCTCTTTACTTGCAAAAATTTCCAACTTGCTTAAAACTAGCAGTGGAGTTCTGATTTCCTAGAGGTATTGTGCCAGCATTCAAAATTGGGGTTCTGGCACACCACATAGTCCTGTTTGGATATAAAAGTAGCCAGGACTCAAGCTTGAACCGGAGCATGTCCTGGTCGTATGCTGCTGTCATTCCGTTTCTTGCTTGCAGGGAGTTACCGTTTCAGTAGCCATCCTTTTTCTGCCCCTCTGTAATACCAGAGTCTGAGATTGCGACCAACACAATCTATAGGTAGCCGTGCTGGCAAAACAGTGTTCTGCTTTTCCGATCCAGGATCAACATAGGAAGTCAGTAATAGTGCTTACAAATAGCAAAGCTTTTCTCATGGGTTTAATCCATGTTTTATAACAATGTGGTAGACTTAACTTTTTAAGAAAGGTCTGATGCTTTAAAATGTTTTTGCTTTATACTAGAGTTTGGGGTTTTTGCTTTAAAAGGATGATCAAAAAAAAAAGTACCAATGACTTAACTATGGAGAGAAAAAGGGAAGTGGATGCTTAGTATGTGAATGTCTTCTGTTTTTTGAGGGGTAACATGATAAGACGGAAGATTTTGACATGCATTCATTCATGGTGTTTGTTCCCACCCCAAGACAGCTCTCAAGCTCAGACACTTAAAAGCATGTTTGGATAGAAACGATTCCTCCCTCCTCCACTTGGAGCCCTGGCTACTAAGCTGGAATTCCGAAGATCTGGCCTTCCTCTGCCCATTGTCCCAGGAGAAATCCTCTTATGTTACTTCTCTCTAAGTTAAAACAAAGCTTTGTGCTCTCTTCTCAGGGCCGCCCTGAATTGACACCTACAGCAATAGCTGCGGGAAAACTGCTGGCTCGGCGTATTTTTGGCCAGTCTTCAGAACTGATGGACTATGACAATGTGAGTTGTTATTTCTTTCAATAATAACACCTTTTTTTTTTTTTGGTCATCTGGAATCCAGCTTTGACAGTAGCCAAAGTAGGTATATGTGACAGAGTTATACCTCTCACCCATGTGAAACTCTCCCCTGTATCTGCCACCCAGCTGCTTCATATGGTTCGACAGTAATATTTTCTGTTGCTTCCTCACAATCAGATACCTACGACAGTTTTCACTCCCTTGGAATATGGTTGTGTTGGACTGTCAGAAGAAGAGGCTGTGCAATGTTATGGATCAGATAATATTGAGGTATGTTTAATTTTATAGTTGATGCCAAAATTGCACTATGAAAAGATAGAAGTTTCCCGGTGTTATCAAGCAAACGTTTTTCATCCCCAAAATATGGCGTTTGCAGTTAGGGAGTTGGTGTCTTCAGAAAAGCTCAGAATTTTAAGTGCTGCAAAATGTCACAAAGGGAATCGTAATCTAGTAGTCTTAATATAATAGATTCTGACTGCAGTGAAATTTTAAATTAGTTGCTGTTTTAACAAATGACATTGTGCATCATCATTAAATGACAGTTGTATTCCTTTTAGTTGTCAGAATTGCTGGCCAGGTCCATTAGTTTAAACTTTGGATGTCCCCAGAAATACTCACACAAGCTGCTAAGTGCCTTTTTTGTGGCTAAAATATCTTGATCTGATGTGCATAGGCATTGCATATTGAGGAAGAAAACTGATATGGCATATATTCCCACCTCGTCCCCTGAGATAAGTGATGAGATTATGGTTTTTGTGATGAGGAAATTCACAGTCACTCTTATAATAAGCCAGAATTCAAACAAGTCACCTTTGAAAGGCTAGGTTGTGTTACTTTTATTCTCTCATCATAAAGATTGTCAGTATATGACTCGGTAAGCTGTGGAAATATAAGTCAGTCCTCTACTTCATGTTTAGTCAGTTATTATTTCTGATTTCTATTATTTTGAAATATAGTTTACTCTTTAAAATTTGTCCCAGACTTGTTATCTAGATTTCTGGATAGTGATGCCATCTAGAATGATAGAAATAACTGTAAAACAATTGTTCTTACCTGGTAAAGGCAGGCAATTGGTGTGTGGGGGACATAAGATGCTGATGTGATGTACGTAGGGGAGAGAAAGTTCAGCTGATGGATTTAGCTTGGAGCCCTAGGCAAAATCATTAATAAAGAAATAAGCATTTACTATGCAACCTGCAAAATTACAGTGTAAGTTCTCCTTGCAGTATACATGATTATAGATATGGAAAGCTTCTCAGATTTCATTATTTTCCATAAATGAGGTATTACTTAAACTTTAGGTCAGGAGAAGTCTGAAGGAGCATATCTAACGTTATTTTGAATTTGGGACACAGCCTGATGTATTGTAGTGTTTTTCTAGTTTTGTTTTTAATCTAATAGTTCTCTAGGAAAGTTTTATGTTAAACTCTTAATTTTGCTTTTCATATCTTGCTTTAAAATAATGAACAAGTTATAAATAAATCCATTCCTGTTTTTAAGTAACATCATCAATACGCAGTAATAGTAATCATTATAATATAAATTAGCTGTTTTCAACATAATGGTATGCTCTAACACAAAATGTTGTTTTCCCTACCAGGTATACCATGCATATTATAAACCTTTAGAGTTTACAGTGGCTGAAAAAGATTCAACTCAATGCTATATGAAAGTGAGTGTTGAGACCTTTTGACTTGCTTTATCTTAAAACAAGAGATATGGTACCATCTACCTTAAGGAGGACTATTTGGCAAGAAGAAACTTTCCGAAAATGGATGAGATCTTTTCTTGGTGACAGCCTGTTTCTTTAGTGAAGCTTCACGTGTTTAATATTCATCACATACATTTAAATATTCATCGCGTAGCCCACTGCATCTTGAAAATACTTTACACGTATTGGTTAGCATTTTTCAGAGATAACATTCTCCTGATGGGTACCATCTATGAACTGCTCTTAAGTTCCTAAGAAATACTCCAAATTTCATAGAGATCAATCTCTGCTTCCCCCAGCAGAGTTTTTAACTAGTTATATGTAATATTTGAATGGACCTCTTGGGAAAGTACACTGCCCTCAAAAATATAAAGCTTAAAGCTTACAGAACTCAAGTAATTGTTTCATGTCTTGTTCATGAATACAAAACTTTCCTGTTTAGACCAGTATGTCAGAGTTGAAACATATCTTCTCCTAAAATAATCCAGTTGCTTCAGTTGAGAAAGGGATTTTGATGAACTTAACGCACAGCTGAGAATATTAGATAAGTGGAGTGTAGTATCAGTAGAATATATCAGTTCTCTCTTTTTTTTTTTTCTCCCTAATATCATAGCACTAACTTCTCTTAGTGGAATAAATGTAGTAACTTCTGTAGGTCCACTGCAAATGGACTGCACATGCTAGTTATTATTATGTTATGTAAGGAATATCCATTGTCAATAGTTTTAACCAGTTTTTCTATTTCGTCCCATCTGACTTGTGTAAGTAGTTAAATATCTACCTTAATTATCCCAAGTAGCATTGCTATTAAGATGACGCTAACTCTTTTCATCTATTCTCTTTAAATTATGTCAATGCAACTGAATGATTGATAGCAGAGTAGTAATGGTGTAATAGTTGTTGGATAACTTTGAATATAACACTTATTAAACTTAGAGTTTCAAACCCTAATGTAAGAGCTGTTTTGTTTTGTTGTTCTTTTCTGTTCTGCTCTTTCAATATTTAGAGTACTAAGTCGGGAATGCTGTTTTGGGCATTTCTGATGAATGAATCCACAGTCTTTTCTTAGTAGCAGAACTTATCAGATTAGTGATTATTTAATGCTTGATGGGAGGACACAGGGAGACTGACTTTATTTTTATAGTGATAAAGATGCTGTCCTTAAAGGAAAGAAAAGACTTTCATAATGTTCTCTAATACAAACAAGTGTGCAATGACTCAGGTCTTCACAGATACTTAATTATTCATCTTCATCTTTGGCTGCCTCCAAGATTTGACTCCTTTTTATCCATGTGGCTGATGTGGTAAACGTATCTCAGCAAACATGCTACTGTAAGTGTTCACAGACTGAATTACAAAGGCACAGAAAGGCCCATAACTGGTAGTGGCCATCTTTGGAAATATAGTTAGTTAACTGCTGAGAATTCCTGCACGGGCTCAGAGAAATGCTAAGGTGGCTCTTCAGTGTCAAAATGGCATTAATCTGATTATTAGACTGCAGAGAATATTTTAATGATTTCATACAAATGCCAGACAATGAAGTATTAAACATACCTCAAATTATTGGTTGTCAATGGCTCCCTGAAGTCTGAAAGAAACATGCTAATAAAGCTGTCATCCAGAAGACCGCTTAAGGACAAGCGTAAGACCTATTGAAGTCAGTAAGATTTGGGCAAGCGCTTAAGTTCTTTGCACACTGGAGATGGACTGCTGTACAGGGATCTCAGGGCATTTCCGTTTCATTTGATTCATCTCTGTGCCTTTTCTTTAGATGCTCTAAGGAAAGATCTCTAGGTAATGTATTGTTTTCAGATGGTGTGCTTACGAGAGAGAGAGCAGCGAATCCTTGGCCTTCATTTCATTGGACCAAATGCAGGCGAAGTTATTCAAGGATTTGCTCTTGGAATCAAGTAAGTACAAAAGAATGTCTCTAGCTTCTAAAGCCTGTTTTTTAAGTTATTGTAAGATTGTAAAAGATAGCTGCCTACTTTTGGCAACACTATAAAGAATCCATGCTTTTTGTTACTTTTATGTAGTATTACCCATATTTTCACTAAAAATGCTGCAGTTCTTCATTAAGATATACTGGATTTAGTTATAGAAATACTGGATATAGTTAAGGAACAACTGAGGAAAAATATAGTGCTGGATTGATACTGTTAAAGCAAAAAATAAACTTGTGCATGCACTTAATGTTAGTTTTCTCAGAGAGAGACTGGCCTGCAAGGATAGGAAATGACCATGTTATCTTTCAAGTCCCTTTTTTAAAAGGATATTTGTGCTTTCCGTAAGAAGCTTTCTTACACCTTTCCTTTTCCTAATCTCATGTTTAAACGCGCATAGCCATAGCTTCTTAAAAACTCAGTAAGGACTTGCATGAATCTTTGTTTCTGGGGTGTAAGCTAACCACTGTATGATATGTAAGGAAGAAATCTGTGGGATGGTGGAAGAGAGGAGGTTCTTCAGTCTGGAGCTAGCTGATAATTGTAGTAACGTGCTTATCCAAAGTAGACGAAACTTTGTGATCTAATCTTGTTCAAGAGTTTGTTCAAAGATGAATATAGAAGTGTATTTTTCCTGACCTGTATATTTCTTGTTCTTCCTTTGAAGGAATAAGGAATGATTCTGGGTCCTTTCTGGTTAGATGGAGCATTCATGCTGTCTCTTGTGTGCTAAAATTATTTATTATTTGTTTTACATTTCCCTTTTTATATCTGAGTCACATCTTCAGAAATGTTGATTCACACCCACACACACACACACACACACACACACAACTAAATTAATAGTTTTTAACTCATCTTTGAAAAAAATAATCAATGGGATGCGAGAAACTTCCCCCAGATTGTGATGTCAGCTCGTTGTCCTAAATATCACCACAATTTTGCTGCAGTTTTAGTCTTACGGTTGTGAGTGACTAGCACAAATGAAAAGCAGAAAGGATTAAGAAGGCAGGACCACAAGTATCACATGAGGAATATCTTGGAAATCGCTGATTGCAGTGTACCCTGAGTACACATTTTCAACATGTGTTTGTAGTCTATTAATTGCCAGTGGTATAGATCCTAGAACTACATTTCTTAGGATGTCATTGTTTTGAAGTTTTATCCAAAATAACCAGTGAAAAGGAAGCACATGAAACTGGAATGCTTTTCTGCCTTGCCTGAGGGGAATTAAAACGTTAGCCACAGTAAGAGGTTTTCAGCAGGTCAGATCCTTATATTAGTTTCTATTGTATTTCACAGATCTGGAGTTTTGTGGAACATCCGTTATAAGTATGAGCTACTCTTCTCCTTTGTCAAGTATTAGGTCTTTTTTCAATCCTACAGAGGATGATTTTCCTCCTTTCCTCCCCACTTAGCATTCCAGTAAAGTCTGTGCTTAGCAATGATTTTTCCCTTGTGTTGTTATCCTAAATGTAGGTGGGACACCAGAAGACTTCTGTGGCTCTCTTCCCTGTATTTTGCGGAGGGAGGGGACATTATTCCATTGAAGGCTTGAAATGATTCCTAAATTTAGGCTCTTCCTACAGAGTGACCTGCCAGGAATAGCAGTCCAAAGAAAAGTCATCAAGTCTAAGAATGTTATCAGACAAATGAAGGAATTAAGCAAGTGGGATTTTAGCTCAACTTCTCTCTCTCTCTTTTTTTTTTTTTTATGTTAAGTAGGGTATGAACAGTATGAATTTTTCCTCTTACTCTTAAACTTTATAACTTTAGTGTAAACACTAGACTTTCTCTAGAATCAGGAAAAGTATTCTGGTATCACTTACTTCAGATTTTTGCCTGTAGTCCTAATTAAGATTTTCTTTCTATCTATGTGTGTGTATGTTTGCGCGCGTGTGTCTCTTTTCATCTGGAGTCAGAGTAGGTGAAACACATAGGCAAGTACGAGAAAAGCTGGAGGTTGCAGTTTTATCATGTGTTTTTACCGTAGGCTCATTTGCGATCTTGGTTAAATTGCTTAATTATATCTGTCTCAACTCTTACGACAGTTCTTCTCTACCAAAGTGTTGTGAAGTTGAGTGTTTAAATACTTGTTGTGTAAGTACCTGAGGAAATAATAGAGAGCATTGTTTGAAGAATAACTTCAAATACAACTCCTCTCCCTGATAAAATAGACAACAGCAAGATTAGTTTGATGCTTTAGGACATTCTAGCAATTTTAGATAAATAGGGTATGACTTTGTGTGTGTGTTTGTTTTTGTAGATGTGGTGCTACCTATGCTGAACTAATGAAGACAATTGGCATTCATCCTACCTGTGCTGAAGAAATTACCAAGTTACATATTACAAAGCGCTCTGGCTTGGATGCAACAGTCACAGGTTGCTGAGGTTAAATACCATCCCTGGAAAGAAGGAAAAAGAGCACAAAATAGAAAATAAAAGGGATATTTTGAGTTGAAACCATTTTAATGGTTGGCGTTCCAGGAATCTTTCTGATTCCCTCTGTAGAGAGTTTTCTCTCACAGCCACATGAAGAAATTGTCCTCCCACTCTCAGTTCTAAAACCAATGTGGTTCTACTGTAACACATCTCTCTCTCCCTTTCAAAGTGTCTGTAACTCTTCTCTTACTCAGAACTAAGGAATAATCACTATGTTATATATAAAAATGTGTCTGAAGCCATTGCCATCTGAGGCCATCTGCAGTTTAAACAGTTGTCACTTGAGTTTCCTTATTGGCATGGCTGACTGTCAATAGACGTGTCTCGCACTATGCTCATACAGTTGCCAGGAATCAGACAGGGCCTCCCTTAAAAGTGTGTTGATGATACCTCTTTTGAAGTACTTGGATGGTTCATTACTGATCCTAATCTTGGACACTGAGACTGTGTACTCACCAGTAGAAACAAGTTCCCAGATTGTGTAACAATAGGTAAGCAGCCGTCTTTATTTTTTCTTTAAAATGTACTGTGTACAGGAGTTTGATAGAAAATCAATTGTCACTGAAACTGTGCTGCTACTGGATGAATTCCCTGCCAGTGTAGTCATAACATTGGGGTGTGAAGGCTAATAGGTTTTTTAGTCAGTTCAGAGGTGCTAAAGAAAGAGTTTCATGTTATATTGACTTCTCTTCTCACTCTTGAAATTTATTTCAGTTCAAGTTAAATTGTCATGTCTCACAAATTACTGCTCGAACACCACGTATTAAGCAATATTGACAAGTAGAATGAAAGCCACAAACAGTCTAACTAATGCAGCATTTTCTGTTTGATACAAAGTGGAAATTGGGCTTACACAGTGATAATTTTGTTGACTTGTTTTTAATATTTAGTCACTGATAAGCTGGATGCCGCTTTCGAATGCATTGAGGTTTGGGCTTTAATAAAATGTATATTACCAAAAGGAACAGTGATTTAGAGAAGAAATGGTCCTGCTTAGAACACACTTTGAGAATAATTATCTGCAAACTTTTTTCAGAAAGTAGCCAGAGTAAGAAAAGCATGCTTCTATTGCAAGTTCCTGCTTATTTTTCTGTTAGCCAGAAGGGGGAGATGCTGGTTAATTTGTGACAATAAAAAACTAATTAGAAATCTCACAGTGAAGCTTCTTTTGCAGAACTCCGTTAAATAGGTAGCCTAACAAAGGCAAAACATAAACTGCTTTGAATTTCAGTCCAAATTGCAGTTGCCAATATTTTGATAAGCATAGTCACTAAGTTTTTTGCACCCTTTATGCTAGAATAATACATGCAGGAAAGTGAGAGGCAATCTTTAGGTAAAACAAATTTTTTTTTTTTTTTGCTGTTAATTTATATCAGTATTTCTGCAAGTGGAATTTGATATTTTCTTAGCTATCCTACTTCTGCTTATTGCAGTTTGGAAGAATAGTCTCATGATCATATATATCTTTGCCATATTTTTCTTTGACTGCTGTTGCACTGCAGATTGCAACACAGACAAGTAATTGGTCTATTTCAAGGGTGAAATATTTCTTATCACCAGAATTGTACCTGTCATGAGAAACTATTTAAGAAAAAATGATCAGACATTTAAAAAAAAAATGCAATAGCGATTATCTCACACTCATTGATACTAAAATATGCTGTTTTCAAGGATTTCTTATGACTTAAAAACAAGCAAAAACGTAGATGGTTTCTCTCCAAAGCTTCCTGATCCTTCTGGTAAAAGAAGGAAGGAGTGATACAGTTTAACTGCAAGTAGCATTCTCTATCAGATTTGCTGATGCATTTTTTTCAACTCTGAAATCATCCATAAGCTTGTGGATGAAAAGAAATACTTTGAGTAGAGGTATATTTGGAATGCTGCCCAAACATTGCTACGGCCTTTAGAAGAAATGGTACAAAAAAACTTCACGTCTGCATGTGAATGTGGGCCTACCTGTGCGCTCAAAGTTCCTGTTTCCTTTAACAAAGGCCTGTGGGTATGATACAGCCAAAAACCCTACTAGGTTTTTCTAACTGTAAAAAACAAAACAAAACAAAACAAAAAAAAACCCCAAAGTTCCCAGTAAACTAGTTTTTAGAAAATTTTTTACCTTGTATTTCAAACATTGAGATACTGAGCATCTCTGTCTACAGAGATCTTACCATGAGAATCACCCACCTCGGACTGAAATGGAAGGTGTATATGTATACAAGAGGTTTTTTCCTAGGTATTCCCTGTTACAGTTTCTTTTGCACTCATGAATTGAAACTGTGGGGCTCAGCCATGTGAAAGTGGCTCCTCTTCTCTGTCCTAGCAATGTTTCCAACAGGCTGAATTCCTTTCCACTACAGGCAAAATCAATGGAGAGACGAGTTTATTTCATTCATTGTAAAGCTGAAAATAATGATTTGGGACAGCAAGTAGAAAGATCTCATGGAAAAGTGTCCTCGATGTATTTGAGGTGTGAAATTAATGCCTATCAGCATTTTCTGAAGTAATGACATGGAGCAGTTTTTGGTTTTAGAACTGCGATGTGGACTTAATGAAAATTGATCTTGTATCTTGAATTGCAGCCTAATTTTGTTCCTTTTTTAGTGCAAAATGTTGTTGCCCACCAAAATAAAACTAAATGTCTGTTCACACCTATGTAACTGTAATGTCAGAACTGGGAGCAAAATAGAATAATGAGAACTACTGCGATTGTGCTTTTCTTCCTGATGGATTCCTTGTGTAACTCTCCAGGGATGGTCCTTAAGAATTTTTTTCTAAGCCTGACTACTGTCAACTGACGTGGCTGATGTACACAGTAAATTACTGATAATACTGATGATATGTGAAAGGTAAAAATAATTGTAGTCAGGCTTCTCAGGATGCCAGCTGATGAGGGCTTGTTTGTCAAACCATACCGTGGTGCACGCAAGTCTGAGGATTGCTGGGTCCTTCATATATATAATCCTAATATTTATTGTGTTGTGGTACAAATTAATAAAAATGATTTTTTTCTAGTAAGTGTTTGAATGTATTTGTTTAATTTTTCACATAGAGCTTCTGCTTACAAAAGATTTCCTGTTGATCCTAATACTGTTTCTCTTGGTTGTAGTATGTGTTAACTAGAAGTAGTAGCCAGGCTGAGACCCTTTAAAAACAAAAATGTTAATGTCTATCTGTCTCTCTGATGCCTAAACTGAATAACCATAGAGATTATCCAGGCTGGATGACCTTCTCAACTATTTTTAAATTAAGAGAACCCCAAGACTCAGTAACTGAGGTTTCAAATACTCTCCTGTTTTTTCCAGCTAATGAGGTCTAACAGGTATGTTCACAGTCCATGTGTGTTGACGTGCTTCTTGAAGACTCATCAAGAGGGAACTCCCCTGAAATACAGTGCAGGCAGTGTATTATACAGGGCTTAAACTATTTTATGTTTAGCTATTCCCTTTGGATTTTCAACTAGAAAATACAGTGGAAAAAATGCATTACAGAAAAGCCAGCGAAGGCAACGAAGCAGAAAAGCAGTGGGTACTGCTAGGTAAAAAAAAAAGTTGGAAAACGAATTAGGAAACGACTAGAAAAACATTGTTAAAAAAACTCTGAGAAAATTCTCAGTCAGAAAAGAAGGGAACAGCATTGTTTGAATTAATCTCAATTTCCTTTTATTTCTTATGATCACTTCTGATGAGAAGTTCCCATTAAGTCAGATGATACTGACTGAGCTTCTCAAATAGACTAGTTTAACACTGCCTCAGGATTTGCCTTTGATGTGGTGCTGAGAAGAAATATTGACTAGAATGTATCTAAAGGCATTTTTACTTTTGCAATTTTTATTGTGTGTTAATTTCCTGGAATATTTCACTGTGATTTCTAACTAATTAGGATAACTAGGAGCAGTGGCTAAAAAGACAGTAAGGTAAGCATCATTATGATTATTCTTTTTCACCTTATTTTCATATACCAGTTAATCCTGCAGCAAACAGGAGTACAAAAGGGAAATTATTAACAGAGAAGCATATAGAAGCATATAGTCTTTATAAATTGGGAATTGAATATACCGCATTATTTGGATTATAGCTTGATGATAGCTTGTTCTCAGTGCTAAGTTATTGTCTACAATTAAGTTTTGCCTTTTCCCCGTTTGTGCATTCACTGTATGTAGTTATATCTATTGGAAAATGTTTCTATATCATAAGTTATTTCAGATCAGGAGCTAGAAAAGATGTTTCACGCCAGCAAATATATTGCAGTGTGGCGTTTGTTTTTACCAGAATAGCTGTGTTAGCAAAAAAGCGTATTTCTAATCAAACTAGTTGCACGTTGTACAGACTTCTATTCAGGAAGTCTTCTCTTCAGAGGCTCCTGCCTATCCACCAAAGTAGGTAACTTTATGGCCGTATAATTTGCCATGTGTCTAAATCCCAGTGAAAACAATGTGCTCAAAGTTAACCTTAGCCATTAATTTCAGTGGGATGCAAGCATGTGTCTCAAGTGCTTTGTTAAAGAGGAATCAATATAAACATATGCCAAAATGTCGTTCAGAATTACAGTTGGGGGACAGACTGCAATTATTATTCAAAACATAAAAGGTACAATAGGCATCTATGAGTAGGCAATGAAATATGCCTTTAATAAGTATAGTGCAGACAGTTTGTTTTGCAATAAGTAAACTTGTATAAAATTCATTGACTTTTTCATTCTTTCAGGTTTGTGCGGCTCTCTTTTAAGAGGCGTTTTTTAGTTTTATGCACAAAGATTTCCTGATGTTCTTCCAGCAGAAAGGTTGGCTTTGTATGCATTTATTCTAGTGCCAAACTTGAATTTTACTGGGAAAGAAGGAAACAGAAGAACAGGCTTTTTTGTTTGTTTTTTTTTTTCTTTTCCCAGGACAGCACGCAACAGATTTAGTGTAATTACTCTAGTTGATTTTTAAAAATGGAGCATTTCTGTCCACTGCATATCAAAGAGCTAATTATATTTCTGTTGTGGCACTCAAAGTCAATATTGTCATCTCTTCTTAGTTCTAATCCTCTACACTGAATTTTGATGGGTCAGGTGAAATATCCCCATCAGCACCTTATTGCAATTCTTGTCAATCATCTTTCCATGAGAAACATGCATATTACAAAGGCTTTGGCAACACTGCATCTGATTTCAGTCTTTAATCTTACAGGCACCTAAAGAAAACACCATTCAAGCTACTGACGTTCTATTTGGGCCATGAATGGGATCCTACTTGCTGTGGGAAACAAAAGAAAATTATCTAATCTTTAATGGATATAATGGCCATCTCAGCATGAAGGTGTAATAGTAAACCACCAATCTAGAGAGAACAAAATTAGAATGGTGAACTAGTGTAGAAATTAAGGAAACGATGTCTCACATGAATAAGAGTGCAGGTGTGTGTCTCTGTTCAGAACGTGACTTTAAAGTATCTTATTTCGAGCACTTCTAGGTTAGGAGAGTGTCTTCCTCCTCCCCCCCCCACCCCAGACTTTCTTTTCAAGGAGCGTTGTTCACTAAAGTCCATTTCTAAGCATAGCATCTAAGTACTGCACGTGCCTTTTTTTTTCTTTCTTATAGACATGATCTAGCACATCTAAAATCTGCTGGTCCTGCAATGGAAAATTAACATCATCCTTAAGGAGCTGGAATATAAACTAATAAGGCAGGTTTCCAGAACCTGATTGCATCAGTCAGAAAGATACAGTACGAAGGGAAAAGTGGATATTCCCTGGGGGTAGTATGAAGCAGAGACCAGTCTTGTTTGAACAAGGTGCTTTGCATTGTTAGCTAGATCGAGGTACTGGGAGTCGCGGCCTGTCAGAAGCAGCGTCTCAGGATGGGGGTGGGGTGGGGGGGAAATTATTGCAGACAAAAGTTTCAGCAGCTTGTGGAAGGGTATGTCCAATGCACTAATACAATAATTTAAGCAAACCCTTTATACAGCATGAAAGATACCCATTCAGGGCCCCCTCATTTTCTTTCAGAGTGTATGAAGACCAGAAACACTTCCTGTTTTGCCATCCTTGTTCCCCTTACCTTGAAGAAACACGGGAATCAGGCTTGTTCTTCCTTGTTTTGGCAGAAAACTGAAAGGCAAGATCCTTCCTCTTAAAACTTTCACAAGGAGACCTCTTTTTCCCAAGGCTGTGTTAGGATTTGGAATTAGGTAGGTGTTAACATAACTCAAACAAATCTGAAACAAAAGGACTATAGATATCTCTCTGTCTTTGTCTATTAGGGTATTACATAACTCTAGTAAAATAAGGAAATAACTACCTAATATCTCTAAAGTACCAAGGGAAAGAAAAATGAGAAAAGACACCTTTAGACTCTCAAAAAAAAAAATACACAAGCACTTTCCCTTCTTTGTAGGCTACCTGTGAGACAAGGCCTAAATATATTATTCCACTGTGTGTTCCTAACAAAACAGAGTTGGCACTGAAAGTTTGTTTTATTATGATTTCTTACTATTGTGTGAATGAGCCATAATGTAGCCGAACAATATTCTATTCAACACTGTCAGTGCAACAGGTTACTTATCAGCTTTTAGCTTTATACAGAAGATTGAAGCGTCTTACCTGATGCCTGAGAGTGTCTAACACAATTAGTGATGCACAGGAATCTTGGCTATTTAGTGAAATACTTCTGTTCAACAGAGACAAAGGATTGAGCTTTGGCATTTTTATTTAATCTTGATGATCTTTCTTTTTGTGTTCCTCTCAAAGGATGGAGAGGAAGTGCATTAATTTTCAACTTCACACGAAGGCAAGTTGTACAAACACAGCTGAAAACATCAGGAAACCCAGGCGTTTTCTTTAGAGAAATGAAGTCAACTAATGTTCTGCTGGCAGGAGACTGCTGAATAATCGGAAAGATGTTGTTGGGCACAGTGGTTTGGGCAGCAGGGTGTTTGTACTCTGATAGAGTTGTTCTATTCAGCTTGCTTAGATGTATGATTCCAGTAATGTAGAAAACAGAGATTATTAACGATATAACAGGAAGCAATTTAAAGAGCACAAGCTGCTTTGGAAACATAAGAAACGTCTCTCAGATTGTCAAAAGATTTTTTTTTGTTGTTAACTATTTAATTTACACCAGACTTGGATCCAATCAAATCATGAAAGACCTTTGGTTTTTGCCTCTTCCATTGACTTTATTTCATAGACATGTTTCAAACATAGGAAAAATAAGGAGAATTCCCTTGATGCTATCAACTTTGTTTACGTTGATTCCTGGCCTCGTTCATTCTACTTACATCCAGGATGCCTTCAAGTTTTAGGTGAGGATTTTGGTCCTGTCCTTAATTAGGAGTTGTATGTTCTTCCCTGCTCTTTGATTTTTTTTTTCTTGTTTTGTTTTTCTGTAGGATGCTCTTTCAATTTCAGTTTAGTTGCATTTGGCCCTATTGAAGTGGTAATCAGTGAATCCCCTGTGGATTGCATAAGAGTCCAATGTGAGAGTCCAGTGTATTCTTAACAGAGCATCTCCGGATTCTCCGCTTGCTTGTAGCTCCCTCATGCACTTACTCTTCCACCAAGTTCTTGGAGCAGTCGCTTTCAAAATCTGGAAATGCCACCGCTCTGGAGGAGCCAGTTCAAAACAAGTCCTGTCCTGACTGGAGCTCATTCCCCAGCGATGCCCAAGGGATCAACCATTGTGGGTGTTTACACTGGGATCTTCTGGAGGGCATCTTCTTTCCTTAATGACAAAATATGTCAGGTTCATGAGTTGTGACAACAGGGCCTCAGGGTTTCCCTGACTGTGGCAGTGGAGCATCTGATGAAATCTACTTGTGAAATGCAAGGCCACCTTCTCTGTTGCTGTGGTTACTGCAAGCTCTACTTTTGTGCTGAGCAGCAAATTCTCCAACTGCAGACAGCTCTCCTGGCCTGTGATGGGATTGTCCATGTGTGGGGCTTACATGTCCTTGTAAGGCCACCTTGTTATCTTGCTCCCTGGTTCTGGAAGCGCTC